AGGGCGGCGCTTGGGGGCAGGGAGATGCCACTGGCCGGGGCGGGCCGAGATTCGTGGGATCCGGCAGCGGGACACAAATAGGGGCTGAGCAGAGTGGGTTGAGAGCAGTTCGGTGGAGAAGCACTTGGGAGTAGCAGTGGATGGAAAACTGACTATGAGCCGGCAATGTGTGCTCGCAGCCCAGAAAGCCAACTGTATCATGAGGGAAGTGTGGCCAGCAGGTCGAGGGAGGGGATTCTCCCCCTCTACTCTGCTCTGGTGAGACCCCACCAGGAGCACTGCATCCAGATCTGGATTCCTCAGCACAGAAAAGATACCGACCTGTTTGAGCAGGTCTGGAGGAGGCCACAAAGATGAGAGGGCCAGAGCACCTCCCTTATAAGGACAAGGCTGAGAGACTTGGGGTTGTTTAGCCGAGGGGAAAGAAGGCTCTAGGGAGATTGTACAGCGGCCTTCCAGTACTTAAAAGGGGCTCTAGGAAAGCTGGAGAGGTGCTTGTTACAAGGGTGTGTAGTGATGGGAGCAGGGTAATGGCTTTAAACTGCACAGGTTAGATATAAGAAAGAAATGCTTTCCTGTGAGGGTGGTGAGACACTGGAACAGGTTGCTCAGAGAAGCTGTGGCTGCCCCCTCCCTGGCAGTGTTCAAGGTCAGGTTGGATGGGGCTTTGAGCAACCTGGTCTAGTGGAAGGTGTCCCTGCCCATGGCAGGGGGTTGGAACTAGATGATCTTTAATTTACCACATGTTTCATTCTGTGAAAATGATCAATTTGGGTACAGTGTAGGTAGTAAAAGGGGTGACGCCTGTGTTCATGCTGGTGACTGAAAACGCTAACCATTTGGTGTATGGGTATGGCTAATGATGTGTGTGATATGTTGACTGGAACAGAGCATTGTAGTTTTAGCTCACCTTTTAAAATTATGTATATTAGTAGTATCATTCCAGTGATAAAAGCTGAAAAGAAAATAATTCATTGATGTCATTGTCAGTGATGCGCAGTCTTGCTATAGAAACATATGACACCGCAGTTTTTTTATTCATGTCATCAGCAATACTTTGTAGCTGTAATACAGTTGCACTGAGCAAAACAGTGGAAGAAGAGGGAAGCCAGTGGAAATAACAGAAATAGCAGAATCTAGTTATAGCAACTGCTTTCTGGAACTTAAGTCTCTGGACATCTCTGCATAATCTAGATGAAAGTTTGATTTTGAGACCATTTACATGTATTTAATACTATCTTTTTTTTTTTTTTAGAGTATTACAATAACACAATATTTCACAGAGTAGTGCCTGGCTTTATAGTGCAGGGAGGTGATCCCACTGGTACTGGATCTGGTGGAGATTCAATCTATGGAGCTCCCTTCAAGGTATTTATATATGTTATGCATTAAGTTTTGGTTATTCTGTCAGTTGTTCTTCCTCCTGTGTTAGGTTGTAAGAAAACCTTATATTAAAAAATGCAACATTATACATATACAGTAGTTGCTTTCACATGCTTGTTACAGAAGCTCTCAAATAAGCAACCAAAAATTGAAAACATTACCAACACAGTTAAGTATCCCTCCACAACCATTCAACAGCAGGTTCAAATGCCCGTGAGAGAGAACAAAACACCACTCCTTAAGGTTTAACAACCCATAATAACCTAGGGTTTAACAACAACCCAAAATGCTCTGTCATTCACCTAACAAGTGAGGAATCTCAACCTTGAGGAACTTCTCAGGGCAGCATCCCAACCCAAGTCACCTCAAAGAGTTTCCTCGGGTGGTGTCCCAACCCAAGGGGAGGGACCTCAACCACAGTGTGCTGCTTCAGGGAGTAACAGTGGCTCAGAAATGGCTCTCCCAGGTGACTATTTATACCCAGCTGAATCTGATATAGTTAGTAGCGGCTTTCATTGGCCAAAGGCCCCAACTACCGTCAAGCCCTGTGAACAAGGGCACACAACAAGGAAATCAATAGCTGCTACACTCCAGCAGCCAAGAAACCCTATTTTCATTGGGTGGGTACACCTGCCACAATTCTGCTTCAGTATTTTTGAATATGCTTTTTTGAATTGAGAGTTCTTAAATCTAGCTGTTCTGATATTATGATAAATGTATAATCTTACTAGAATGAACTTCACAAGGAAGAATAGGGGAGGGGAAGAGTGAAGAGTATGTGTTGATATGTGGCAAATACAGATGCAGAATTATACATTGTTTGTGCACGTTTTATCTCATTTAGCAAAGGTCTCTGAACATTATATATGTCTTCATTGGTATTATTGATACTAGCATGGTTCATCTATTTACAAGGACGCTCAGATCTTGAGTGAAGCTACACACATACAGCAGCTGTGTTCTGTCTGATGTTTTATTTCAGATGGGGCAGGCACTTTTAACTTGTGACAGATGCTGCATAGCATGTCTCTGGGATTTCCATCTCCCTGCTTCTAGAGTAGACTTGTAACATGAATGGGAAGTTTCTGGAAGAGATTGGTACCTGAGCAGAGAACAAAACAATTACTACCATATTGTGGTAGCATTACCGCTCAAAATTAGCGATATCTCAATATTGCAGTATTTAGAATTGTGATACTGCCATGGTATTAATATTACTCACAGCTTTCACCTTGCTTTTAGAGTAGTCCTATTTTATTTTCTTATAGTCCAGAAAATGTTTTCCCTATGGATTTTGGCAGTACTGTACCATTAAAACTGTTGTTGAGCTTCCAGTTACTTTAAATGAATTAGCATTTTTTTCTCCTAAGTACAGTGGTTAACAAGAATGATAGGTTACAAGAAATACATGAAATGCAGTTACTTTTAGAAATGCTTTGAATTTTCTTAATATTGGGGGTTAATAAATTCCAACAAAAATAATGAATAACATTTATTAGGCAATGATTGGAAAAAGAAAGTTAACAAGACAGAACTTAGAGTTTTATTAAATCACATGTCCATCTATTATTAGTATACTATTTTTTAATTTCTTTATTTAGGTGTTTGTTGGTTATGTGTTTATGGTTTCTTCTGAAAGAATGTTGTTCACTTGTTTACATTATTATAGTTATTAAGAAGAAAAAACTTAGATTGACTAAAAAAATACTTGCTGCTGAAAACAGAAGCTTTTAAATACATTGTTTCAATATTGTTGCATTGTTTCCGTTTTAGTACTGTCTCAATTTAAAAAAAAATTAACAGCATATTTTCCGAATGTGCATGTTGATGTAAATAAGCCATGTCTAAAGAAGTGGAAAAATAGTTACATACTTAAATCATGTTCTTTTCTGTCTTTGCCAGGACGAGTTCCACTCACGATTGCGATTTAATCGAAGAGGACTTGTTGCTATGGCAAATGCTGGGCCGCATGATAATGGGAGTCAGTTTTTCTTTACGTTGGGTCGTGCAGATGAACTTAATAACAAGCATACAATCTTTGGAAAGGTCTGCTACATGGACTAGTGTCCCAGTTTGAGTTTGACAGAAGCTATGCTAAGTTTCTCTGTATTCAGAGACTGTTTTAGTGTTCTTTGCTGCTATGTGCATTTGAAATTTATTTAACTGCTTTCTAAGCTGTCTCTATTCTCGTATTTCACATTTCTGGCAGAAATGTTTCAGTGGGTTGTTCCCATAAATATCTACTTTGATGTTGTTATTCTTCTGTATTATATTTTTGGTTTATGTTTCTTTTGAATAATCTTACTAATACTATAGCTCTGTCTTACAATCAGTTCATCTAATACCCGTGACTTTTTAGAAAATTCCGTTTGTAAATGCTAGTTACCCAGGAAGAATCAGGAAAATGAAAAACAAGATGAATTTACCACTCTCATGATTTACTTGAAAGAAAATAAACCAGCTATTTTTTATTTCACAGTGTCTTTTATTTTCCTGTTTCACAGCTCACAGTAAGAGTTTGACATCTTCCCCTGCATACACTCTCAAAATGTAGGTTTAGCTACCTGTCTTCATTCAACTTGTGCTGTTAAATTTAAAAAATCCCAAACCTTTGTAAGTTATACTTGCTGTCTTTTAGAAATCATACGTGCTTACAGTATTTCCTATATCGTTTATATTTTCAAAACTCTTTACATAATAATTGCCTTGCATTTTGCAGAATAATTTACAAATATTATAGCTACGAACTTTCAAACCTTTTTTATTAATTTGGCAGGTTACAGGGGATACAATATATAACATGTTGCGTCTGGCTGAAGTAGAAGTTGACAAGGAAGAGAGACCTCTCAGTCCACACAAAATAAATAGCAGTGAGGTGAGTGTTCTGATTTGAAATTTGAAATTTTAAAATTATTTTGTTCATATTATTCAGAAAACTGTGTTCTAGTATGAAAACTTGTGTGTGTCTTTATGTATTATTTTAAAATATTGAATCATTTAATTAAACTACTTATTAAAGGTGTTTCTAAAATACTACTTTTTTAACAGGTTTTGTTTAATCCTTTTGATGACATTGTTCCAAGACTGAATAGAAAGCTGAAGAAGGACAAACCAGAAGAAGAAATTAAAAAGTCCAAAGTAAAAGGCACAAAGTAAATATATGCAACATAAATAGTTGTTAATTTTCTTTTACCTTTAATGTGCATGTTAATTTTCTTTTTCTGGATTTGAAACACAAGGTTTTCTGAAAATGCACAGAGGAATGTTCTCTAATCTTGGCAAAACCTACTTGTCTATTTCTGAAGAGATCATACAAATCTAGTTGCTCTGACTGGAGTGGTTACTGTACATCATTTGATCTGTGGCTGTCTGCATGCTGATAGTTTGTGGCAAAAGAGAGGTAAAAGGTAGTTTAGCCATTTCCCATGGGCAAGAACATGCAAGCATTCTTTTGTGACCAAGATGACACTAAAGTAGTAACTGGGTCATAGGTCAGTTTGAGGTTTTTGAACTTATCAGCTGCTGCTTCTCTCCCACTAAAATACTCAGCAAGAGGCAGGCATTTTGACATGGGAAATTTCATTTTCTGTGAATGAAATTTCATAGTCATAAATAGTAGGAAATCTAAAATGTGTGTATGCTGTTAGTTCTGTTGGACAGAAATAAAACATGTGACTGACTGGTTCCAACATAGTATAATCAGTTAATTTTGGGGGGGGGGGAAAAAAAAGGCATTATGTCTTTTAATTACATTCTATTAATGTGTGTGCATTTGATGCCTTTCTGAGCCATCATATCTTGAAAATTTTGTTTGGTAGTTCAGTGTTGCTCTGTTGAAAAAAAAAATTTGCAAAAATGTAAATGCTCTGTTTTCAGAGCTGTCAGCATTTAACAGTCTGTGAAAGTTAGTCAAGGCAGAATTTCTTAAATTCCATCTTACCATTTTCTAAGTGATGCTTACCTATCCTGATTGTTTTGTCTCAGGAATAGAATAGAGTGGAACATGCTTCTCTAAATATTCATGGTTTATTGCAAAGCAACATATTGTAGTTGTTTAAATTTGGTACATTTAGCAGGACAAAAAGATTTTTTTTGTCCTTGCACACAGTATGAAAGTAATATGTTTAAAGTTTATGGAATATTAATAAGTATTTAAAGTTTTACTAGAAAATGTGTTTTCTCTCTTGAAGAAATTTTAACCTGCTTTCCTTTGGGGAAGAAGCTGAAGAAGAAGAGGAGGAAGTCAGTAGAGTTAGTCAGGTGCTGTACCAAATCATCCCTGTTTTTCTGTTTAGCTTAAAATTACCTTTTATGTGTGTTTATGAAAAGCTTTAAAGTCCTTAATCTTATGTTTCAATTTTGAACAATAATACTAAAAATTACTTCAGTTTTTATGATTCTACTATTTTAACATGTTGAAAAATCAGAGGTTTTTAACTTGTAACTTTGAATGTACCTTCAGTTACTGCATGGTATTTTTACATTTCCATAAACATAAAGTTTCATACTTCATAGTATAAATCTATGCCTGCTGTTTAAAATTCATGGATGTGAGAGGTACTTTATTCTTCTTTACCACCTTAATTATAAGAGTGTGATTTGATGGTAAAATACTGGAGGTTTGAAATAGACCAACTTGTTCATTGCCAGTGCATTGTTAGCTCCATTTTCTTGCAGATATGCATTCTGTGTACAAAATGAAGGGGGGTTATTGTGGGGAAAATAGCACATTATCCTAATTAAATATTGCACTATTGTGAATTGTCTTTGATCTAACATTTCCTTACCTGACTTTGACAACTTGTTAAAGAAATTTTTAAACTAACCATATTTACATAGCATTGCCATTCCTACTGCTGACCAAATTATTTCCCTAGAGCCCTAGACTTTCTTACTTACTTGTACTGTTCAGCTACCTACATGTTTCAGTTAGTAATCAGACTACATGGTCCTGAGTCCTGTACCATGTAAGTGAAAAAATGGTCCCTATCCTTAAGATTTAGTTAAAATACAAAAGACAACAGTGAATAATGTTGGGCAGTATTACAGTGAGATGGTATCAGTCAGGATGATAGCAGAGGTTTGTCAAAACAGTAGTTTATTTTTCTTTCTTGTTTCAATTTACCAGTCATTCTGACTATACTTATTTACCTTTACATGCACGTCTGCTGTTCTACTCTTGGTATTTATCTGGTTTTTAATACTGCATTTAAGTTGGTTGCTTTGATATTCTTCCCTTTCTTGCCACATACTTGCTTTTCAGTTTAAAATGATCTAAATAGAACACCTCTTCCCTGACAAGCCCAGTTTCAGTGTTGTCATGTTGTCTTTAACTCAGTCTTAAAATCTCATCCTCATATTTGTTTTGACTAAATTCTGGACTAGCTGTATCTGGGAAAACAACCAAATCAACTCTTTATGAATAATTTCTATTCATTCTTTACAACAGAATGAAACCTTTTTTCCAAACCTCATTGCTTGTTTCTGATAGGTCTAGATCAGTCTCTCTATATCTCTGGACTCAATATTAAGTTGAAGTATGTGAACTTCAGCACCAACCTTTCATTCTCTGTTTTTGGTAAGAAAAATTGAAGGCCAAAGTTAATAATTATATTATCGGACATCTATAAATTCAGAATCCTTCTGTGAACTTCTTTTGGTTGCTAGATACAGTAAGTCTTGTATGTTTCAGTGTAAGAAAGGTATACTTTTAAGGATAGTGGTTGAGAGGAGAGGCTGACAGTAACTAAGGAATCCTCTAACAGATCTGGGAAAAGGAAACATTTTCTATTAATTTTTAGTGCAGTGAGGCTGAGGCTAAAATTATGTAAAGAGTAAATGAAAACACCATGTATTGGGATGAAATTTTTACAGTAATTAATGTTTTAATGTTTACATGTGTCAAATAAGAATTCTTGTCTTAGTCACATCATATTAACTAAGTAAGTAATGAATTTAAGAATGTGTCCCTAAGTCTTTTCTCCATCTTCCTCATTATGAACAGTTTTCTACTCTGGATTTGTTCAGCCTGCACTACACTTAGAGTAAGTGAGGGAATATATTTTGCCTTTGCTGCGATTTATCACCTGACTCTTGTTCCAGAGACTGTACAAAGAAGGGCAAGAATGGTAACTGGAGATATGGGTCATGGTAACTTTAAAAAGAGGGAGAGAGGGAGGGAAGTCTGAGAATGATTATTCCCTATTTTTTATAATGTGAAAGTTGAGACACAAAGATAAATGAGCAAATAAATATACAAAGTATTTTTCCCCTCTTGGAATTTAGGTTGTGAACATTTATGCCACAGAACATGATTAAAGTGAGAATTATAAAAAAAGATATAAAACAAGGGATTAGGGCCACTGGTGCCTTTTGAACATTACCGGTCAAATTAGGTCTACTATATCAGGAGAGTCTCTAAATCGTTATAGAAAGTATCACTCTTAGAAAGAAACTTTGTGTACCCCAGGAGGTTATAGAAGGCAGAAATCACAGGATTAAGGTAGTTTATGTCAAGGAATGGCAAAAGCAGAATGGCTGCATAAGGGAGGGCAAACAAGGAGGCAAGAGTGATTCCAGCACAGACAGTGTGCTCACCAGTAGGGACACAATCCTACAGCGTCTGGATACAGCAGGCAGAGTTGGTTGCTGCTAGCAAGGGTCCATCAGCAGTCCTCGTCATTGCAAGTAGTAACCAAGACCAAGGTCCCCATCCGGAGAGTCCAGACAGGAGCAACAAGATATGGGACAGAAGACAGGACAAGTCTACGGTGCAGGTCCAACAGACCCAACCAGAAGACAGGGTTAGACACAGGTACACCTCTGACATAGACAGTGACTGGATTTCAGGCCTTTCAGGTGCTTATGGGCAGAGGAGCTCCAGGTAAAACTCCTCAAGGCCACTAAAGCTATCAGTGTACTCAAGGACCTGACAGTGGGGTGTCCCCAGTGGTTGTTGATTAGTGTTTAAATTGGACCTTGTGTCCAGACTGCTCACTTAATTGTCTGTACTGGTTTGGAGCAGTTTACAAAGGTGTTAAGCACTTGTCTTGTGTTTCATCTAGCTCCCAAACACACACACACACACACACACACTACTTGTTAAGAAACTAATTTTTTGTGTTGCTGAATGTGTTAGTCTTTTTTTCTGTACATAAAAAAATGAAGTTGTGTTTAAATGAGTAAGATTTTATTATCCACACAACTACTGTCTTCCTGCAAAGATGATAAGATGCGGCTGAAATGCAGACATTCAGGTCACAGTACAGGCTGCTCTGTAACAAGAGATTTTCAGTCTGATTTCGGTCTGAAATGTATATGTACTTTTTGGATGAGTGTGGGGAATGCTTTCTTACTGTGGTCTCTGCATGGAGATTTTATGTGGTGTTAGATTTATTTGACTTCTTGCTTCAGTAGATGATTCCTGCATGATGTATTGCAGGTTGTTAATTTCTTTTGTTTTTCCCTAGGGATCTAATGAATGTTCTACCAGTTGATAAGTACTTTGTACATGGTAGTTCTTTGAGTTGTCTTATGCCATTATTGGAAGGTCAAGTTCTTACCTCTTCATTCACTAGTGTACATGTATCTTTATGATGTGTAATGATTGTGACAATTGTTCAGTCTCTTTTTTTCTCTACTTTTTTCCCCCCCTCTTTCCTTTAAAATCAAGTGCATTGCTATTGCAAAAACTTTAAACTCACGTGGTCAGTTTGCTCCTCTTTATGAAATGTCTTCTCTGTTCTTCTGCTATTAAAAGTGTTTATGTTTACTGGTTAGGCTAAACCTAACAAGAAACCAGTTATCTTTTTCTTACCACTATCCTTTTTTACCATTTGTTTTCCCAAACCCCAAAATTTTTAATTTTTTTTTTTTTTTTTTAACAGAGCATGAAGGGAAAAAGTAAAAGTAGTCATGATCTACTGAAGGATGATCCACATCTAAGCTCAGTTCCTGCTGTCAAAAGGTTAATACATAATTTCCAGTTTCCAGAACAGATTTACTTTCAGGATTTTAGACCTGATTAGCATCATGTATACTCACTGTTTGTCTGTTACTCTTTAAGAAATTAAAAACAGCGATGCTGAATCAGACCATGTGTTCCTCTAACCCACTATGCTTGTCCATCAGTGGATCCCCAACAAAGAATAAACACAGAGCAAGCATAATGTTTACCTGAGTAGTTTCCCAGCCTACATCTACTTTCAGCTCAGATGACTGTCAGAATTTTATGTGGTTCATCTGTTTGGTAATCCTTAATAGAGCTCTCTTTAAAGTATAGAGCTCGCTTTAAAGTCTCTTATGTTGTTTACAGTCACACCCTCCTGTCTGCAGCAGGAAGAATTATCTTCACTTTTTGTTGTGAACCTGGCTGCTACTGATGTCATTCGATAAATTCTAACTCTTATGATGGAAGTGACAGTGAGCACTCGGTCCCTTTAACAATCCCTTCTTAGGTTATCCCTTTTCTAGCCTAAACTTTTAAAGCCTACTCAACTTTTCTTCACACAGAAGTTATGTACCTGTAATTATTCTTGTTGCTTTCCCAACCCTGGTTATGTTATAAAATAGAATTTTTTTCCAAATCTAAACAACATATTAAAAATTAGGTGAATCATAAATCTGTATGCTTGTATAAAGACAGTCTCCGTTTTCTTCTCTATTTCTTTTTAATACTTCTTAACTTCTGATTTGCTTTTTTAACCATTGTTGAATATTGAGCTGAGGCAATTCCTTGAAAACACATCAACTCCAAGAATTTGCTTATCATCAAATCATATAATAGTTTGGGTTGGAAGGAACCTTTAAAGACCTAGTCCAACCCCCTTGCAATGAGGAGAGACATCAACTAGATCAAGTTGCTCAGAGACAAGTCCAACCCAACCTTGAATGTTTCCAGGGATGGGGCATCTACCACCTCTCTAGAAAACCTGTTCTGGTGTTTCATGACCCTCACTGTAAAAACTTTCCTCCTTATATCTGTCGTCTGAAGCTACCTTCTTCTAGTTTAAAACCATTGCCCCTTGTACTATTGCAACAGACCCTACTGATAAGTTTGTCACCAATTTTTTTATAAGCCCCCTTTAAGTACTGAAAGGCTACTATAAGGTCTTCCTTCTCCAGGCTGAACAACCCCAACTCTCTCAGCCTTTCTTCATAGAAGAGGTTTTCCATCCCTCTGATTATTTTCATGGCCTCCTCTGGACCTGCTCCTATAAGCCCACGTCTTTCCTGTGCTGAGGACTCCAAAGCTTGACAAAGTACTACTGGTGGGATTTTACCAGAGTGGATCAGAGTGGGAGAATCACCTCCCTTGACTTGCTGGCCACGCTTCTCTTGATGCAACCCAGGACATGGTTGGCTTTCTGGTCTGTGAGTGCACATTGCCAGCTCTTGTCCAACTTTTCATCCACCAGTATCCCCAAGTCCTTCTTCACAGGGCTGCTCTCAGTCCCTTCATCCCCCAGCCTGTATTGATGCTGGGATTCACCCCCACCCAGGTACAGGACCTTGCACTTGGCCTTGTTGAACCTTGTGAGGTTCACATGGACCCACTTCTCAAGCTTGTCCAGGTCCCTTTGGATAGTACCTGTCCCTCAGGTGTGTCAACCACACCACTCAGCTTGGTGTCACCTTCAAAGTGTGCTTGATCCCACTGTCTTATGTCACTGATGAAGATACTAAAAAATACAGGCCCCTGTATTCATGATCATATATCATGATTCATGATTCATATATCATGATCAATAATGTTCAGCTGAGAGCTCCTTGTTCTGTATGTGGGACTCCTTTTCCTCATGTGCGTAGCTTTACTTTTATCTTCTTCTGATTTCATGTGTTATTATCATTCAGGTCCTCTGCAATTCTTCTAACTGCTCTTGTCTTTACTATTCTGAGTAACAGTATTTTCAAAAAATGCAGTGACTTGGCTGTTTGCCTACTTTGTTACTGAGCTCACTGAACAGCTCAAGACCCAACATACTAATGATCTTCCTCCATTGAAAGAAGTGATTGTTTGCTTCTAACTTCTGTTTCCTGTCTTTTAACCATCTATTTATTCATGTTCCCATCACCCCAGGACTACTTACTTTCCTTAAAAACCATTGGTTAGAGATTCTCTGTGAGTCCAAATATATCAGATCATCCACATTTCTAAACACTCTTGAGAGGTTGGTAAGGCAGTTCCCTTTATAGGCATGTCATAAATACCTAATAGGTTATTTTATCTCTTACTGTCACTTCTACTAGTTTGGGCCTGACATCAGAATTACAGACCTGTATGCATTCTAAATATTTTCTTTAATACTTATAAATATGGGGGGTTGGAGGTTTTTTTATTATAATCTTCTATGAAGAAATACTTCACAGAGAGATTTCTCAGTTATTTTTTGAAAGGAAATCAATGATTACTTACTGATGGCTTAGAGCACACATCAAAGCCTTGACTTCGGGGACTTCTTTAATATTCCTTGCTTTGTTTCTTTAACATAACTTCTTTTTTAAATTGTGGGATGGAAAAATCTTCAAGGGTCTCTGTTATTAGTTTGTGACAAATTGTGGATATGTTAGCTTTAGTATATTCAAATAGATTCCTTTTTTTAATACAATAAGCTGTAGTTTTAGAATGTGAAAATTTTGATGTTAAGCTTAGTTATCAGTATAGTGCATGTGGAACATGCCTATATAAAGAAGGCTTTCTGAGATATAGACTATTTGCAATGAAGTGCTAAAAATTGATATGTGAGATCAAAACCATCAATCTTAAGTGAGTTTTGTTGTGTTTTTTTCCTTTTAGCTGTATACATTAGTGTTTTGCCTGGATAGCTCAAGAAATGGCTAGAATTTTTCCGTTGTATGAAAGTTAGTGGTTTTATCCTGTGGTTTTAAACATTTCTAATAGAAAGGATTATGACAGTCAAATGATAGAAAATTCTACTAATTGATACTTTTAAGATGAATGTGAGTATGATATAAATAACTAGGTTGACTAAAATTTTGAGTAGCTAACCAAACAAATAAGAACTGTTTTTTTTAAACAGTATTTTAAATCTCCTCTGGTACTTTAAAGTAGTTATGATTATTTTTCCTTCTTTTAGTGAAGCAGCAAGTGAAGAAAGGGATTTAAGTGAGGTAAGTAACATTTTTTTTTTTTTTTACAAATAAGTCTTTGTTTTTTACTTTGTGTGAATTAACATTTTTTTAGGGGAACAAATGCTTTATTAGAGGATTTTGAAAACTAGCTCAAGTTAGAAAAGGCTGGAGACCCTTTCAGAGCTCTCAGGTTTGACCATTGTGAACATTCACAGTAGGGGCAGAGGTACTACTGCATTTTATAAACACTGCTTACCAGATATTTCAGTCAATAGATTACATATATGGGAGGTTATCTACTACAGAGTGACAAACCATTGATAAAAGCCCTGAAATTTCCTCTAAAAAAAAAGTTCAAATTAAGTTTCACATGAATAATGATGTAACTCTAATGTTTGAGGGGAAATCTGTGTATGGGTGAGAGTCCTGTTGGAAAGATTTTTTTCAAGGAAAAAAAAGTTCAATGAATATTTATCACTTAAATTATATAGATGAAGACTGCCACCTCTGCAAGACAGGTAATCTGAATAACCAAACAGTGACATTCAACCAGGCATGGAGGCTGTTTTAATTACAAGGAAATTATCATACATGGTGAGGTTGCTAGCTGAAGTATCTTTGCCTCCTCAAGGCATAGATCATAGTGATACCCCTTTGAGTTGCTATTGAGACAAGGATGTAATATTTGATGAGGAGTGTAATCTGCCATTCCCCAGACTGAATCCTGAAAAGTACTGTTTTGCATATGTATCCACCTTGCACAGGTGCTGCAGTGTTACCTGTTGATGCACTGTGGAAGTGAAGGAAAGACACAGTCTGTCCCATTCTTGTGCATAAAAAAAGAACAGTCTGCTTCTACCATGTTTCCCATTGCTTTTTCCACAAAGCATAGTATGAGTTCAGGTTTTCTTACTCTTCTTTGTTCCTGCTGTGCAGGAACATTTAAGTGTTAGAAGGATTCTGAGAATGGTATTTAATTAAATAATTCTTCAGGTGTTCAAATAGCCGTTTGTTAAGTGAACTGAATTTGGGGAATATAGAACAGGGATGTTAGCTATATTTATTTAAATTATTTTTCAGCCTAATTAATCTGAATGCTGTTATAATAATGTCATGAGGTAGGAAATAGGAAGGCATTTTTTTTTTCTGCAGGTGATCTCCTTATTTTCATTTCATTGACAGATTTTAGCTAGAATCTAGCATTTCAGGCAGTTACGTGAGCCTTGTAAAGTGATACTAGTATTTTATCATCTCCTTTGTATTTATTTCATTTAACACATCACAGAATCACTTTCACATTTACAGGGCTGCAACACTTTGGTAGTTTTATAGCCATCTTGTGAGAAAATAATTCTTCCAGATCTCCCCACTTCGCTCATATAACAAGTCCCTAACGTGTAAGAGATACTCTTTTTATTATTCCCTAAGCACCTGACATTGCTGTTCATGCTATTAAATATCATCCTGTTTCTCTTACTGCATCCTTGAAGTCATACATTTCATGCTTAGAGACTTGGATCCTTTGTATTAACAGTACCTCATCACTACTTGTTGAATCTCTTTTTGTGCCTGATTAAGGAAAACATTATAGGAAATGTGTTCACAGGACTGATTTTTATTTTTTATTTTTTTCCCACCAGTGACATTCCTCCATTTCCCCTTTTTGCATAATTTGTTTTCCTCTCCCTATTTGTCAGTTAGTTACTAAACAGTAATTTTCTTGTACTGTGGCTTGATATCCTTCCCCTAATTCAGTAATTTTCTCAAATAGCTAAATTATACTGCATACAGTAGCCATTAGTCATTCTGACACACAATCTCTCATTACATTTTTATTTTCAGAGCAAAGAGAGGAATAGGGCAACTCCACTCAACAAACAACAGCAGCAAAAACTAGTACAGCTTCCAGGCAGACAGTTCTGTTTCTGTGTCACTAAGGCAACATCATCATTGAGTTGAACAGCTGCTTCCCTCCTGAGGTGTCATGTAGCCCACTCTGGGTGGAAATGTGTTAAATCTACTAGTTGGTAATAATCTAATTAGTTGGTACAGAAAAATGAGAGTCTAAAAGATACAAGATCAGAAGAGGAACTGGAGGAGAAGACTGAACAGGAGAAAAGAGTACAGTTTCAGGAGGGAAGAGATTGAGGGGGAAGATTGTGTTCATTTTTTTCAGTGTTCTTCCAGAAGAAAACTGGTGAAATCCTTTGCAGATTGAGGGAATGGAAAGTTGGGGAAGTAGGGGATTCAGCTGAGTTGGACAAGTTGAACCATTCTGTTTCTTCCATTTTAAAATACCATCCATGGACCACCCCCTCCTGTTACTCACATTTCTATAAATTTTAATTGGCTTATTACTTAGCAATTGCAGTTTGTCTAGAATTGTCTGGTTTTATTCTAGAAATTCTCCTGTCCAACTCTGTGTGTTTCAGTGAAATGCTCTTACCTAATCCTTAGCCAAATCTGACCAAGTCAAGATGATTGGTTCCACAGGTTTCACAGCCTCTTTTGGTCAATGTAGTATTTGTAAATTCCCTCACAGAGACTGATGGGCAAACCTCTTCCATCCCATTATGACTGTAGTTCTAGCAGGAAGTTATGAAGTTCTTAGTAAGTTTTTTTTCTTTTAGTGGAAATGCTTAATATATTGCTTTGATCAAATTTTAGATTCATGAATAATGACCAGATTGATACCACATTGCTATGAGGTCTGCTGAAGACCTGTAAGGATTTACAGTCTAAAATAGCCTGGTTTCGTTTTTTTAACCATACAAAAAAATTAAATTTGTGTATGAAAAAATATTTAATTATCATGTTTCGAATTTTTTGTTCTCTCTGAAGCAAATCAGGCAAAAGTTATTTTAAAAGTTTGCTTTGAAATGAAATAATATTCTTTCTTTTTTTCTGTAAGGGATTATCTTTGTAAGAAAAATTTTCCATATTCTGCATTCTGTAGTAAAAAAATAAAAAGGCTAAAGGAGAAGTTTTATCATTTTAAATCAATAAAGGAAGAAGAAGAACGCGATGAAGATGCTGATAGTGTAGAAGGTGAAGCTGCTAGCAATGAGAGGTTTCACATAAAAGAACGCATTGCCAAGAAGTTGAAAATTGATATAAGTGAAAATGCTAAACAGCAACTTCAAGATGAAGAAACTAAGACAGAAAAGAAAACAACTAGTCGCAGGTAAATTTCATGGTTGTTTGCTTTTTGCTTTTTTTTTTTTCTTCACCTTGTTTACAGTTAGATTTTCTGCTCAATTTCAGTTTTGCAGTTACTACATTGATAGGTTAGTATTACATTAAAATTATTTCCCCCTGCCCATCTCCAGCTGTGGAAGATGAAGTTGCCTATTGCTTTCTCATTTCTTAGTTTCATTTGGCATTTTGTTACACTGAGCACTAATTGATACCTTGTATGGAGTTTTATTTTTCCCTGTAATTTATAAATTAAGAATGTTTGTATGTATTTATCATGTTTTATGTTATATTTCTACACAGTTGGAAGATCGAGTTTTGTAGCTTCTTTGTCTGTGATAATACATGGTGGTCATCCACCACTGAGGCTTGCAGAAAGTAAAGGCTTCCCAGTCATCCATTAAAGTCTGGTTTAATACAGTAGTCATTCTTGCCATGTACCAGTTTCTCAACACTGCAGTTGATACATCAGTTTTTAAATAGCTGGGGCTGTTCTTGGAGAGTTGTAATATGACTGTGTTTAGTAGCATAACACTGCATTCCAATTATTAAACTAACATAAGAAAAATTACTATGTTTCTGTAGCAGTTTTCAGCCCTTTGCAGACATGTGATATAACTCTACCAGCCTTTGTGAACATCTGTACTGATTAGCACTCCATTTTCAGTGACTTAATTTATTTTTGTGGAACCTTGTGTTTTGGCAGTCTTTCTTCTAGAACTTGTTTAGGAGTTTCTGTTTAATAATATTTATATTACATAAAAACATTCGCCATGTATGCAAGTGATGTGTAGTGGAGCTGATGGGAAACTTACTAGGAATTACTGTCCAATATTTCAGTAAATGTGGGCTCCAGAAATTACTGAACAGTTGAGTCTTTGCACTTACGAAGTTCAATGTGTGAATTTACTTACTCAGTGAAACTTACTGAGGGGTAGTGGAAGGAAGCATTGATAAAAGTAATTTAGATTTTTGTACTTTGACTCTGCACAGTTGTCATAAATAACTGCCTGATGAAATTATTCAGACTTTGCCTATACTAAATTCTGTATATGTAGCAGGTGTCTTAGATTCTCTCCCACAAGTGTTTCCTCTGAACTGAGCCCTTCATACTTCTTTTTTTTTTTTTTTTTTTTTTTTTTCCTGCGGATATGGTTTTATATGTAATGGCCAAGGCATATTGCCAGCATGGAAGAATCCAGGGCAGTCTGTTTGTGACAGAGGGAATACCTGGTAGTCAGTACAAACACTTCAGAAGTGTTACCATCAGAAGATTACCATCCCTATTAACAACTGGGAAGTAAAGGCTTTGGTCAAGACACGTGAAAAGAAATTTGTTGTAATAATAATAATACACTTGGAGATAAAATGCATTTTGAAACTCTGGTTGGGAAACAGAAGGAATAACTGAAACAAAATCAGTTGTTTACTCCTTGCAAGTTATTCTGGTTTAATATGGCTATCTATATGTGCTAAAATTAAAACCATCTATATCTTGTTGAAGAAGAGGCTGTTCTCAGTTATGGTGGCGTTCAATCATTATCTTAATTGTAAAACAAAACTAATTATTAAGAGAAAAGAGAAATGACACTGACATTTGCAGCTTGATGAATATCGATCTGATTATTTTTAGTGAAAGAATTTTGATATGATTTTAAAAGTAAGATTAGTAAGTTTTGAGCATTTCATATGTAATATTTCTAACTCTGTATGGTCTGTATGTTTAGAAGCACGCTGTGCTTTTAGAGTAGTAGGAACACTTGCGTTATTTTGGATAATCTTCTAATATTGGTGTATTAAAATATACTAACTGTAAGTGTTGCTGTTTGTCTACCTGTTTTGGAGCAGTGAAAAGCCCAGTGAGAACATTGCCAAAAAAACAATTTTTATTAACCACTTTAAAAAGTTTGAATAGCTCCAGAAAATGAAATATTCATGGAATTTAAATAGGAAATTCAGTGTCCTTTTCTGCATCTTCTCCAGTATTAATTTCAATCTGAGAAGCACAACAGATACAGTACAGAAGCCTTTGTAATTTAAGCAAATCTGAGCAGGTTCCAGTTAGTTCTGTTTCAGGCCTAGATGATTTTACTTCTGAACTTTCTTGTAATTTTGTGTTTGCTGAAGAGAAAACCCAGTGTACTTAATAGCTGGAGATAAATAAGCAATGGCATTTGACATCAACAATACAATTGCATAAAATAGCATAATAACGTAATATATATATAATATATTTATAATATAGCATAAAAGGCTATAGTTAAACAAAATCTGTAATTTAAATGGGCATTAATTTTTCCAATCAATTTTACTTTTAGTTAGAGGCAAGGCAACTACCTTTCATGCTCTGGCAAACTTTATGCAGTCAACAAGATTTGTGTCATCAAATCTGTAAACTGATGTTAATACTTTTTTTTGGAACTGTGCATAAATCTGATCTCATTGTAGAACCATATAATGTTATGTACACCAGCATAATATTTCATGAGCACTGGCTTTCTGTTTTTTTTCTTTTCTCTCTGTAAGACCACCTAAATCACAGTGCATTGAATTTAGTGCCATGTTTCAATGGCTGTGCTAATTATAACTAGGTATTGTTTCAGAGGACATATACAAGACATCTTCTAAAAACCCATTCCCTGTTTTTCCTTTCTGCCATCTGAAGTTGTGCTGTGTGGCTACTCTGGAAATTGATGTCTGTACTATCTCTGCTGTAGACAGCTAGTCCATATGAAATATACTGAGATCAGGGAGGATGATGGATAACTTGGATCCCAAAATCTGGTTACTAGTCCTATGGCTGAGATTGATACATTATTCCAGTGGTAAATTACACGAATGTTTATCTTGTGTCAGTTGAAATGGTTATATGTCAGTATGTGGGACAAGAGTACCTGAGGTAATTTTCTGTCTCAAATCCTGCAGAAGCATTGTGCTGAAGTGGTTCCCTGACTACAGAAAGAAGTAATTCTTGGTTTTCAGTAGTCTGTCTTCAGGGATAGATTAATCCTGTACCCTAATAATTTTTGTGGTATTACCCTTAATATTCCTCAATACAGAATAAGTATAAATTTCTTGGAGTCAATGAACTGTTGATCATGGAAACTGGATAAATACGGATGTGTTAGATAGCTACATCGGATAGTGGAGGCAAGGATTCAGAAGTTTAAAAGTTCTCCAAGAAAAGCTTTTTCTGAAAAAGTATGTTCAAATAAATGGCAGCCAAGTAACATCTTTAGAATAGCAAAAGATACTGTACTCTTGTATTTAATTGCTACCTACCTAGTGTCTACCAATCTGTTTAACTTCTGCATTGCTAGAATCAAATTTGCCTAAGGTATAATAGCAAGTTTGTAGCATGAAGGGAACGAAAAGCTAGAGCATACCCTTAGGACTGAGATACTCTCTCTGTGCCCAAGCTTTCATGGGGTTGTATCACATTTTCAGAGACATCTGTGTAGGCATTCCATAAGCTTCTGTCTCTGCCTGTAGGTGATCAGTGTACTGTGTTTGTGGTTATTTCACTCTTTCAGGGCAGTAGCAATACCATTCTAAATAAACAGGTTATCTTAACTAGGAAGAGGGTTTTATTGGATGTGTTTTTAGCAGTTGGGAGCGATAGCCTTGGGAGAGACTGCTTAGTCCCACAAGTAACATCAGTTTCTGCTTACTGTTTTCCAAATAATTGTCTGGCATCCTCTGGCATGAAAATCAAAGGGATGATATTGTTTGTTATAAATAAGGTGTTACTAACTTTGAGGTCTGATGAGATAAATTAAGATAAAACATTATCAAGTTTCATTGTCTGGAATAGTGACTTTTTTGTAAGTGTACTGGAGATGATTAGTAATTTGTCATAGAATTTAACCACCCACTGTAGCAGGCAGAGATGTTGGAAGTGCAAATATCAAACAAAAAGTTGGATCCACCATACATGGCTTGAAAGGTAATGTCTACTAACATATCATAGGGCCAAGAAACATCTGATATCTATTAGAATTGTTCATATCATCAGATATTTAAATGTGTTAATAGAATAACAACTTCTAAAAATATTTTTTCAGGGTACTGTGTTCTAGCATGAATTACTTTTTCTGAAAGTCTGGATTCATTTGTATCAGTCCTGTTTCTTTTAATACAAATCCACTTGTGAAGTCAGAAGTTTGCACATCTGTTTCAGAGAAACAATATGGAAACAATAGACACCTTCTCACATTCATGGTAGTGAGATCCAATACCATTTCTGAATGCAATCATACTTGGAGTGCTCAAATGGTGAAGTTAATTTTAGTCATTTGAACCTTTTGTGTATGTTTTAAAAAATAATTTGAGACACTTGCAAATTTTGTATTAGATATGAAACATTGGGAAAAAGAGTTTCCTGCTTATTCAGGCAAGTTGTTGGAGAAATTCGACAGGTCTCTTGTTTTTTATTAGAAAGCTTAAACCTAAATTTCACAGCATGTAACAGCTGTTTACATGAAGGAATGTATACAGATAGGAGGAGTGTTTTCCATCATTGCAATAGTAATCAAATTTATCAGCATTACATCGAGTTTGTAAAATGGCAGTGGCTTGAGATGATCATTTGAAGGCTTCAGCGTGGACAGTCCTCTTCTAGTTTGGTAATTAAAAATACTGGTTTTACATTTATTTTCGTCCTGTAGGTGGAGCTCGAGTGCTACCCATTTCTGGTTACCAGCTTTTAAAAATTTTCACTGCTTTTTGTTTGCAAGACATGCAGTGTGCATTTAGAGTACAGCTGTACAGTGAAAAACTGTACAGTCAACAATTTCAGTTGCATCATTTTAAAGGATATGCTATTACATAGCAATATGAAATAGGTGTCTAGAATAGCTGAACTACTGAGGAAGAACTGATTTTTCTTTCTGAGTGGTTAGTATCACTTGAATTTAAGTCTGTGTTTGTATTTCCCATTGTATATTTTTCTCCTAATAACCCTATGAACTGCAGCTGAACTAAGTAATC